GTTTATGATCAGAAGTTGTTTGAAGTTTCAGTTACTTATCCGCTAACAAAGCTGTACAAACAATCATAAGAAAAGAGCTCATGATATTTTAATAACATATTTGTATACTCTTCAAATTAAAAACAAAATATTTCCAGTAGAGTTGCTAAGTACACACCTCCCTAGGTTCTGATTCTTTCTTTTCCCATGAAGATGAATTTCTCTTTCCCCCCTTTAATATTTCGTTACAAAAACGACATTTTATCATTTTTCGTTTGACCGTAATGACTAATTAAAACCATTGTGAATTTTATGGAATATAAATAGAAGCAAACTGATTTCAGCATTATATATAAGATATACAGCATCGCGCACTTTTTAAAACATGGTTTTTCGCACGTATTAACGTCTAATTATTACAATGCGATATTGTGTAACGAGGCAACAAAATATATGTTAAAAGTGGCTGCCTAGTTTTAATTTTTTTTCACTAACTAAAACATAATTCGCACATAATAATTGGCAGGACTCTTGATTGATAAATTATAACAATTTCCAATCAAAATCCTTGTGGTTTCTTGCCTTTCCTGCAATGCTACATTCTTAAGGATTCTCTCTTGACTATGGATGACTTTTTGCCTTGCCTAGGCACAGACACAGTACAGTTCCCGTGACTTAAATATTCTGTAAATTAATTTGACTCTACAGCACAAGATGATAACAGTATTTCTCACCTGTTTGACTGCTTTCTACGTTAAAAAGCTGACATTTTCAGAGTTACTTTCTGAAATCTAGCATCATGAGAGATGAGTCCCACTGCAAAATTTCAAAGTTCCAAACAGAAAATGTAAAAGAACTTTCCTTTCAAAAGTAACAATTTACTATTTTAAACGATAAAGATACTTCATTATACTACCTTTTTGCATAGTTTTTTTTTCCGTAGCGGTGTCCCTTCTCGGTGCTTTATTTTGACAAATGGGTGAATTAAAAAAAAAATGACCACCAAACTGAAATTTTTTGGAAAAATACAACTACTTATAACATATTTTTCACTTATATCATCATATTGCACATGCATTCTAGTTTAAAATCCTGAAGTAGCAATAAAATAGACAATTGGATGAAAAAGTTTCATTATTTTTATTATTAAAATTTCTTTAGAAAAAAGAAAATATCATTACACCTTAAAATACTTTCTTAAATACATAATCACAAGAAATTATAGTTTTTAAAACTTCAAAATGGTAAAAGGGGTATAAATGATAAAATCTAGACCTTGATTGGGTATCTTCTCTTGTATATGTGACAAAAATTTGGCTTTTTGATTGTTATTTTACATTATTTTTCAATTCTGGTTTGAAAAGTTTTAATATGAAAAAAAATATGAAGCAATAAAAGTCCCCAAAATTCACTTTCCGTTTAAGTCAATTCTTCAAATCTAAGCCAAAAAAGAATTTTTTTATACGAGTTCTCTTACAAAAAAGACTAGATTTTGAAGTGACCCTATGTTACATTATTGTGTTGCACTCCTGACATCTGATATGTATTTTATTTAACATTGTTTTAACAATTATAACACACAATAACCCATTCTTACTTTGTAAATCAATTTGTCGTTTTTATATTTTTCATCGTTTACAGTAGGTTTTTCATATTTTGAAGACCTTAAAACATGATTATTTGAAAGTGTAATATATATAATTTGTATTTAAAAATATATGTGAAATGATGAAAACTATTCCCTGAATTGACTGTAAAATTTCTGTAATTTGTTGATAGACATAGTGTTTTGAACATCAAATAGTATCAAACATTTTTTCAACTTATTTTTGAGTAAAGATGGTTAAAAATCATTGATAATTATAAAGCAGTTTTGTTGCACTCCTGACTGCCTAAAATATAAAATTAAAATCATAGAACACAAAAATGCATAAAGTGTTGGCAACATCAAGTGGTAATTGTGCAATATTTATCGTCCAATACTTCATGATTAAAACAGATGAAAGTATTAAAAATTCGCATTTTATCTGGAATTATTTCCTATTTATGCCAAAAAAATAGCTTAAATGTATATTTAGAAGATAAAATATATTTTATAGCATGTTTTTCTTTCAAGGACAAACACAGTAACCCACCAGAAACATTCTACTCATCATTTTTTCTTTATTTTTATTCTAATTGGATGATTTATAATTCTAACATATTTGTTGCACTCCTGACCAAAAGCATTGGGGTCTTTAAAGTAGAATTGTGAAGTGAAAATTACATAAGAACTGTTGTTTCAGTGAAGTTGAGGAGGAATTACTTAAATTTTATGAAATTTTTTTAGTGTGTTTATTTTTAACATTCATTAAAAAAAATCACAAAAAAGATTAAAACACATCTGAATTGATAAAATTGAAAAAAGGAAGGATTTTAATTATTAAACTGTCAATAATTTAGTATTAAATTATACAAAAAGATCATTATTAATTGATGAATACTTCTAAGCATGAAAAAAAGTGTTTTCGTCATACAACTTGAATCTTTAAAAAAAATGTGAAGCACAGACAGATCCTGTAATTGATAAATCATAAATCTATTTGTTAAAAAAAAATTTCTTTATGTCTTTATTTTCCAAAATAAAAATGAGAAAATCATATAATGATAATAGTTTTTTCATGCTTGGGAGCAAAACATCAAATGTTGCACTCCTGACATTATTGGGTATGTACATATACTTGACCCTCATTAATGCTGCTTGTGATTTATATAACATTTTTAAGTTTTAAAATGTATATCAGTTATTGTTTTACACTTTGAAAATTCTTTTTGTCTTAATTTTCTTTCAGAATGTTACAACTGACTTTTTTTTGGCATCACTACATTTTTCTGTTGCACTCCTGACATGGTATAACATTTTTTTAAACATCAGCCATGACAACAACTTGAATAAACAAAAGTTACTACAGTCCACATTTAAAGCTCAATACTTTGAATATTACCAGGAAAGTCTTTATTTTCAACATAAAGCATTATTATTTATTTCACAGATCTCCAAAAAATATTGAAATTTCAAAATGTCACTAAAAAGTGTTGCACTCCTGACAATTTTAGCATCATTTTTGGGCATAACTTTTTGTTAATTGAGATATCAACGAGATATTTGGCAGGTATTTAGAAACTATCTAAAGACATATGCTGAGACATAGAAATCTATTTTCATTGCCTTTATTTTTAGTGTGGGTTGATAAATATACGTTTGGTCATTTTTTTTTTTAATTCACCCAAATCCAAGACAACTATTGTAAATGAGCAAAGTACGTAAATAACCTCTTCTTTCAGAAGTCAATTTAAAAATTTTGACTACATAGTATCAAAGAAAGCTTAATTAATGCTATTTGTAAATACCTATATTAGAATCATATAGTTCTTACATTGATCCATTTACTGCTAATGTCCCCTATAAAACATCGACTTTGAAAACATAAGATAATAAATGTACCCTTATATATATATATATATATATATATATATATATAGAGAGAGAGAGAGAGAGAGAGAGAGAGAGAGAGAGAGAGAGAGAGAGAGAGAAGGGGCCCTTATCTTTTGAGGTCACAATTGCGCATGCACAGAAAACGACGTAAAAGTCGCGGTATTGGAAAAAGGGAATTTTTATTTTGTTTGTTTGTTTGTTTTTTGTCGACTCGTTTTGTATACACGTACAGAGGGAATAAAATAAAATTGATTTTCCAGGTGAAAAAAATATTAAATTCTACGAAATCTAAAACGGAAAATTTTAATAAATAACATTTTACTATTTATTACATGTATCTATTCATGTGTCTGTGTATATATCTGATATTACATAATCCCACAATTGTTGAATAATTGAACACATTGTCAGGTACAGTGCTTCATCAATAGCGATGTCCATATGTCATGCAAAGCTACATATATATTTGTTGTTCTTTTTAGCAACTAGCAAATGCTTGTATTTAACTAATATATGAATGTACTAATTAGTCCTAGTGTCTAATAAATGTAGTCTACATACATTATATTTTTCACAGAGAGAGAGAGAGAGAGAGAGAGAGAGAGAGAGAGAGAGAGAGAGAGAGAGAGAGAGCTCAATGTACATATTCGCATCATGTAATTACATATTTTTATTTTATTCAATAGTTCGACATATCGATAGGTACAATTATAGACCAGTTCAGGTGTGTGGCGTTGTTTTCCATATGGTGTTGAGGTGGATGGGGGTAGGGGTGGGGGCTTGATGAAGGGCAAAAAATGTCTCAAAATTAAAAGGATACACGTTCAAAGTTCAAACTAAAAAATGAAAAGACAACCCTGCAAGTTAAATGTTACAATCATGTAAAATAACCTCTTGTATAATTATAAGAGTTTTATTAAGTGTCCTTTATGTAAACTCCTTTTATTCACACCGTGGGAATTTTGGACATTTACCTAACATGAAACAGTACAAAACAGTAAACAATGCATACTGGGTCAATGTTTACACACAGACATAGTATTGATGTATGGGAATGAATCAATGCGTGTGTTTCTGAACATAATGAATACAAAGTATAAGCATTTTAATACAGAAATTTTAAACATTTATCATGGGAAGAGGGTCAAAACACAAATACTAGACAGAATTTTTCTTTAACGCATTGTGAGATAGACGATTCATAATTATGTAATATTTACTGTACTAAAAGATAAAATCTCGATTAATCTGTTGTCAACTAATCAAATCTGAACCAGGTCCCCCATAAACGCGAGTTTAAGAATTTGTTTATGATAAAAAACGACATATGCATGATTCTGTTGTTGTCATAGTTTGTTCATATGTGAAGTGGTTAAATTACTTTACATTGGTATTTAAGAAGAGATAAACACTGACCAATCCTTTTTATGACCCTAAAAATAAATCAGATATAAATGACAAAGATTATATATCATATATCACTGCGACTAGAAAGCTGTATGATACAGTAATTAAAAAAATCTGAACGGAATCATAATATGCATAATAAAGCTCATGATTGTACATAAATGCATTCTTGTTATGATTAACGTTAAGTTGTCAATGATTTAAAACAAATGATTAGTACATTGAAGACTGTAAATGTAAATCAGAAAAATAATATCTCAGTGATATTTAATATGCAAATATATCATATCAGTAATAATTGAAATCATGGAAGCAAAGAAGTCTTTACAATTAGCAGAGTCGTGACATACTAATATACTGACATGTTTCACAAGATCCCGAAATTCAAATATTCACTCTCAAATAACCTACTATTTTAATAACCTAATACCATAATATTGTACATTAATTCTTATTAGCGTTTATAGGTTCCATTAGCATCGTAAACAATGGAATATAATATATAGTTATCTTACTAATTGTTATTAGCGTATGACTTTCATTAGAGTTTCATTGGCATCGTAAACGTCGGAATATCATATATTGTTATTTCACATCAATTGCAAATGTCACCTGTTCGGGTATACTTCATGTTTACCCGAGTGTAATACATATCCAGCGTTCACAAACATTCTTTTTCCTGTTTCAGGATAAACAATATCGCAAATAAAGTTGGCTTCAGTGTTAATCCAAAACTTTGAAACTGAAGATTGTATTTTTACACAGCTTTATTTCATTTCGTTTCTTATTTTATTTTTAATGAAGCATAGTTATGTTTATTCGGTTCATTGGAGCTGTCCTGTAATGTTTCATAATATATTTTCATCTCTGATTCGTCCTGTTCTTGATCAGATCTCTGATTTTGTGTCTCTTCAGGTATTGCATTTGCATACATTGGTGCAGGTGTGGTCTGAAGTGAGATCCTCTTTCTATTTTTTAACACGAATCTGTCAATAAAAGTATTGATTTTAAAAAAAAAATTTCCCTGATGTACTATCTTTCACACATCGCAAATTATATGACTCTCAAAATCATGTTCCCACCTTTTAAAATAAATTGTTAGGAAAATTCAGTTCATCAAAATGGAAACTATAAGTGCTGCTAGCAGGCCATAAACCTCTGATTGGGTTTCCTCAACGTGTGGAACACCTTTTCACATAAAACAATCAACAAAAAACCTAGAATTCACTCTTTTGCATGAGGATAAATACATATATGTTCAATACTTCTTTTTATTAATAAAACATAACCTATTGCATATATAAACTTTTATTATCAATTGTAAATTTTTAAGATGAGGTTGAAAATTTACATATATACGTATATATATATATATATATATATATATATATATATATATATATATATATATATATATATATATATATATATATTTGTAAAAGAAAGTTGCATGTACAAGACGAGTCTCCTTGAAATTTCTAAATACGATCTGCGTTTACCATGCACGGGAAGAGATATTTGATAAAGCGTAGAGAGATAAGTACTTGAGTCACTCTTCCCACTTTTATTTCCAGCGATGCAACCTTTATCACTGACACCAGTCACGTTATTACATTCTCCAGCACTATCTTTACAGTTAGTATATTGTTTTGTAAAGTTTGGAAACAATACTTCATCCTTATACTCTGTGTCAAACAAAAAATAAAAGATAATTAGGCCTAAAACTTATTTGTAAGAAAAAAAAACAAAATATTTTTTGGCATTATAGCCTACTTTATATTAAATCATCTTTTTCATAAACATTACAAAGGCAGTGTTTGTATAGTTAAAGATTTTAAAAGATAGTTGTGCAATCACTGGTAAATAAAGAATGAATTCTATTAATGATATAATTCCAATATAATTTTGGAAATAGACCTGATGTTGACGTCTATGAAAATTTTATGATAATTACGCCATCAGGTCAGATGTTGGAATAATACATGCTTCAACATTATTAAAAAACTCTACATGCTTCAACTATATATTCATCTATTCTTTGGTCTGAAGCTTTGAATTTGAAAGCATAGTCAATGTGGTATTAAGGAAAAGATAAAATTGTTTAAAACTTTTTAAATCTAAAAGACATTTCTTTTTGGGTTCATTAAGTAAGGTTTACATACTTAGATTACAGTTGTTTCCTTGCCAACCATCCTTGCATCTCCCACTGAGACATGTTCCGTCTAAAATGTCACATGATTTCCCGATGCAGTTCTTTGAACAATTGAATTCACAGTTTGTTCCAAACACACCCATGTCACATCCTGCAATAAATAAGAAATATAATTATAGAATTTATTTTCTCCAGTGTAAAACATCTCAAAATGATATAGTAAAAACAAATATAGGATTGAAATCAGATCATGTTGAAAATACACTCTGTTATTATTGTCGCAAGTAAATGAAAGCTTAAGTCAAATATACTTTTCCAGAATTATACGAAGTTCAATTAAGATAGCATTTTTTTAAAGCAATGCATGGAATAAAACTCCATTAGATGTCCGTTTGTATTTCTTTCATTCAGATTGTTTATTTTCACACTGAATTGTCTAGCGCGATGACACTGAATGGTCTAGCGCGATGCCCGCCAAAATATGGCTGAAATATTGTCGACTCGGCGTTAAACCCTAATTAATCAATCAATCTAGTGCGATGAAGTCGATATAATGTTGGACATGTAATAAAACTGAGCGTTTAAATATTAGAGCTACCTTTGGTAAGTTGAGGAAAACAATGTGAAATGTAAACAATTGAGAAATTTCTACAAACATTTTGACGATCCCTTGAATTTGATGTGCCGAATCCCAATATTTATGTCCTTTTTAAGAAAAATGCTATACAAATATGAACAATCAAGAACAAAAAGACTTTTAGAATAGCATATATCGCTGGGATCTTCCCTGTAGTTTGGAAAGTTGATTTTTTTTTTCATTTTTACAAAGATCAGTTTGTGAGAGAAAGCAATCATAAAAATGATGAAACGTTCTTATAATATAACCTTAGCCTTATTGTAAGTAACCTAAAAAATCAAAATTCTTTCTGTTTTTTAATTTTAAAAAGATATACTGAGGTATTACGTATTTAAAAAAATTCATCAGAAAAAAACATGCAGCTTTCTATTTTACATTAATGGATTAAAATTATATATCCTTAGCAAACCATCGCTTACATGTACATGTAATTGACATGTTTTTCTTTTCGACTTTTAATTATTAGTGTCGCTTAGCAAATTAATTTGTAAAACTGCTAAATCGTAATTTGCCAAAACAGAAAAAGATGGTAATTGCTAATGGTATCATTATTTTGATGCTAAAGGTATTGGATTTTTTTTTCTCCATAAAATCAGTAATTTAAAATCATTTTTGAACCTCACCCAATACTTTGAAAGCACAAAATGAAACACTTTGATTTTGAGTGTCAGGTACGTATCTAAAAACCATAAATCGACCATCTTTTTGTTTGGTTACAAACACTGATGTTTCCTTGTCATCTAAAGTTCCTGAAGGATACAAGGACCCGGAGTGTGTGGAACTCGAATTAGAAATGAATATTGACCATCCTCCTGTCACGTCTGATAAAGAGAAAAAATACATTTATAGTAAAACTTGACATTGAGGAAAAATCTTTAAAAATATATAAAATTCAAAAAATAAAAGTAATTTACGTTTCTTTGAATAGGAAATTCAAAACAAGGAAAAGATTAATTAAAAAAAAAACTTTGCTATGACATCATTATACATGTAGACAATATAAATGAAGCTAAAATTAAACTAAGTCTTTTCAAGATCCTTAATTGAGTAGGTTTTGAATATATATATTCAATTTGATAAAACTAGTTGTCGAACTCTTTCAAACGAATTTAATTCATTATAACGATTTTAATTCAAATCTTATTATGTATAACAAATTTAAGAGTTTGTTTAATCAAATTTAACTCGAAGAAATCAAAAAATTGGTTTTCACGAATTCACAAATTCAACAAATGTGAACAAATGTGTAAAAAGTAAATATTAAAAAGATTTAATTCGTTTCAACGAATTCGAGAATGTCATGTAAGAATTCAAAAATATTTATGATAAATCCTAAACAGGTTTGCACACAATAAAATGAAAATTTATATGCAAATAAGTGTTTTTGTCTACCTTTCGAGAAAAGACCGAATAATCTTCTTCCTGGAACTGTAAAGAAAATAATTTTATCTAAATAAAGAATTCTGCATTTTAAACAATAAATATACAGCTTGATTAGATTCATTTATATCTAAATCGTTCCTTTATCATTTTTTTAAAGTACACAAATCAAGATTTTTTGTTATTTATTTATTTATTTGTTTGTTTGTTTTGTATATGAAATTTTAATTTTCATCCTAATAGATCAATTAAAATCTTTGAAAAGTTCTTTCTTTAAAATTAGTTTCTCATTATTTGTCGAAAACAAAAAAAATACTGATACCTAATGTAAATTCAATCTGGTACACACTTCGAACATCTAAAAGATCGACAACCAATGTCAAACTTTCGAAGTATTCAAAAGGGAAACATGAAAACTTTTTATATACCCTAACTCCCTTCGATAAGTTCGTTGTATTATAAACGAGGATTGGAAGGCCCTCTGATAAATTATCTACAAAAGACAAGATATTTTTGTTATTCATTGCTATTCTGTAAAGAGGATCAATCTTTAGAAACTTTAAAGATCTTCATTTCACTTTCAGAGTTATTTTTGTTGTTTGAGCTTTCTCAGCATTTAATCTGTACAAACAGTGTCTTCGGAGCCATCGTCCTTATCATTCATATTAAACACAGAACACATACACTTCTGTTACCACTGTACGAGAATTTGTCCCGGTACAATATGAAACTGTAGAAAGTCTTTTAATCGATCGATTACAATTTCAGGGAACCCGGACAGGTATATTAACAAACATTCTTATGTAAGTCATGATTTCGACTGACATGCTTCTATATATATACTAAAAGCTATATGATTGTAGGATTTATATCAATTTTTATATTAATTCTTTAAATGAACAGAGGGCATGCATTAGAATTGCCATTAAGCTTATTTACGAAACACTTACACGTACTTATACTTGTTTTTTTTTTTTTTATGTACAAGTGTCAAATTGCAGCTATATGTAAACAGTAATATATGTTTTCAATATGGTAGTCCATATTTTAAATTATAAGGATAGCCAAGATTTCTTCACATAGGAAAAATAGACTTTATTAAAAGATAAATAGAAATAAAATCAACATGTTCTTAATTTGATATCCTACTTATGCTCTTTGAAAATATTTATAGAGTCTAATAATGAATAAAACTTTTGTACCGACTTAGAAAAATCGTCTTTGCATTTTACACGTCATCATAACAAATTTTATGAATATACACATTGTTCAGTTTTGCTAACAAAACATTTTCCGTCATCTTAGAGCTATAAAGTACGTTTTAAAATTCTATAATGTTTATTTTAATATGAAATAATTACATCCTTCAACTTACCGAATGCATAATCATTTGATATGAGTAAGAAAACTGTAAATGTTCCAATGAGAATAGACGACATGATATAATAGGAGTACATGTATGTTTATCTTCAGTCTAAGTTTTAAGTCATATGATTTTAAACAACTCTAGAAAAGAAGAATTGTTTTCCGCTTGTCGCACCACTTATCTGTCAAATGCGGAAGAATGTGATGATTAGGTTTAAAATCAACTGCTATTATTATTATAACCCAAAGGATGTATTCCGTTTATTATGCTTTGTTACTTTATTTTTGTGGGCGGGGTGTGTGAAAAATTATTTTAGTTTCATGCACTATCCTGTTAACAATTTTCTTTGTCAAGATTGATATGATCATATCGATTTATTAATGAATTTACTTCTCTGAATTCAAAACGATGACAACGAAGTATTAGATGGTAAAACTGAGTTTCCAGAAAGTAGTTTTCTTCAGGACCGGGTACTATTTAGTTTTAGTTGGTTATTTTCTGCTACGAATTCAAAATGTGAACAAATGAGTTAAAAGATTTGTCTAAAAGAATAACGCACACACAGATATATATATATATATATATATATATATATATATATATATATATATATATATATATATATATATATATATATATATATATATATATATATATATATATATATATATATATATATATATATATTGATCCACTGGCCCCAAAAGATTAAGATGTTTCCTTTTCTTAAGAAAGGAATCAATTTTACACATCTTAAAATATACCAAAGCATTTCATATTTTTTAAGAATGTGCGTGGGGAAATACACTTTTTATTTTATTTAGGGGTTAACCTTTGTCTGTCTCTCTGTTTCTATGTCTGTCTTTCTCTCTGTCTTTCTGTGGGATCTTATATCTTGAGCACTGTAAAACGTATGGATTTGGTATTAAACATATATATTGCTAGGCATTATGGAACTCTGAAATACAATGGTAACTGATATTGTGATCATTGATCCTGGTCTTTGGCCTACTTTTTAAAAAAAAATGTCTCTTTGTATTTATTTATATATATATATCATTTTTAAGAAGTACAACTATGTTAATTATCATATGACTTGTTTGTCATCAAATAATTATGAAAAATAACAGCCTACGAGTCCATCTGACCTTGATCTTAGACACACCTTGCAAAAAAATATTCAATACTGTACAAATTAATTTGTTTTTATTTTAGGGGCTTAGTTATGTTAACTAGCATTTATATAACATGTTCATGAGCTCATGTCACTGTACTTTAGTATCATGCAGATAGTAAAACTAAAACAAAAGTGACCACTCTTTGATCTATTTACATTTTGAATGATTCTATAAAGAAGGCAACACTTACGCTCTTGTGGAGTATTCTGGTTAGTTCAATAGCTTAAAATTCTGCGTTTTATTGTCTAAACCTTGTATACATGTGATTGAAAGTAAAAAAAAAAAGAGATGAATAAAACGACCAGTAATCGATTAAAAAATTAACGCAACATTTCTTAAACAGCGCACAAAGCATGGATCCTGTCGAAGATATATATAGTCCTAGGAGGAGTAAGCATTCCCTGTCAAAGAAATAAGTATATTGACTCATCCGTATTCAAATTTATTATAATGACAATGAGGTAAAAATTGCTATGAACTGTGGGCGGACCCCATTCATGATTGGCAGTCATTTTTGCAATGCTGAAAAAAATACTCTTAGTAGATACTGCATCACCTTAAATGTTGACTGACTTTTTTTCAAACTGAATTGATTACGGAAATTTTCCGCTTGCTTGATCACGACAAAGAGCACACGGCGGGTATGATTGGTCGACAGGGGAAGCTTACTCCTCCATTGTACCTGATCCCACCTTTGGTGTTTTAGAGGTCTATTTGCTCTACGCCCGATTAGTATTGCTTCAATTGTTTTGGCTTGATTATGGTTCTTTAATTCCATATTTTATCTAAAATTGTCATAATTATTTCGATATTATTGTAAATGGGTGTTTGATTTTTTATCTGTTTTGTATTTATGTAGGAAAAGTTGGGATTTGCAACGAATCGTAATCGTTGCTTTGTCATGTTCATAAGACATAATCTTTATCTTAGCGTTTTATTGTGATCTCTAAACAAAATGACTCAAAAGTAAATGAGTATCCTTTGTAGGTATATATCGTTTCTAACTTATTAATATGAGTTGCATATTTTTGTGTGTTGTCTGTGGAGCAGAGATCATCACTTGACTTTAATAGGAATCATTTAAACCTTCAACATTAAATAAAAGGTCCCTCGGTGAAAAGTTCAAGTATCTCTCCAATATGCACCTCTTACATTGTTTTATTGACGGGGAAGTCACGTAGTTTGTGGTTTATAAATGATATAAATCGGATGTATAAACTAGGTCTACATGATTAAAGACGGGGTTATTTGAAATCATAAATCTGTATTTTTTTTTTAAATCTTACCTAATATTTTGACACTACAGAATGAAATACTTTGATTTCGATTTTCAGCTTCGTAATTAAAAACAACAAAACGGCCATGATTATGTTTGGTTTTAAAAATCGTTGTTTGTTTACTGTCTAAAGCTCCTACAGCATACAAGATCCCTTTGTCAGTTGAACTCGAATTAGAAATGAATATTGACCATCGTCCCGTCGCTTATGATAAAGAAAAAAAATTCTCTTAAAGAATAATAAGAGAGACATCTTAAAGTAAAAAAAAAAACAAAAACAAAACAGCAACAACACATTTTTCATAAATATTTTAAGTTTCTTTTCATAATTAATCAAATCTATACAAAAAGAAGTCTTTTTTTAAACACTGCATAATGAGCAAAAAGATAATTAGAAAGGTCTACAGTGCATAGAAAGTCAAGCTTATTCCTTAAATGATTCTTTTTCTCTTTTTCCTCTTCCTTTCTCTCAGATTTTTCTATTTTTCAATTAACAAAATAAGCTTCACTACAATTTATCACATTTTCCACAGTAAATCACTGTATAGTAATTGTATAAATAAAACTTATATTTTGCCATGGTATAAAAGAATGTGAAACATACCGCAAAATTCTTGATTTATTGCTCCCACTTAAGGTATGGAAGTTCTGGTGACAAGATTTGTGGACAAATTTGAATCTCAAATGTCCTAAGGAGCTAAAATTGACATCCCACAACTGCATAGAAAATAAAAAGATAAGCATGACAATTCATTTATGAATAGGAGTTTGTTTGTTTGTTTGTTTGTTTTTGTTTTTGTTTTTGTTTGTTTGTTTGTTTGTTTTTTTTTGTTTTTTTTTTGATTACCTTTCATGAAACAACGGAGAAATCTTGTCTTTGGATCTGTAAAGAAAAAAATTACCTGACTTGCTAACTCTGTTTTTCAAAGGGCAAAGGCATATCTTAAGAACACTTTCCTACAAATCACTAGAGTATATAATTTGATAACATGATTTTCTTTGAAACTTAACTCTATATCTTTTTGATATTTCAAAGCTTAATTCTCTTAAATTCTATAATATTGATGAAAAATTAGAAATTAATATGTTAATATTAAAGAAAAAAATAATTGATAAATTAATTTAATTTAAAAAATGTTCATGTATTAAATGGAGAACATAAAATTTAACAATCTGATATTCAAAGCATTAATGCTTTGATTTCCTTTAACAAAACTTTGATTATGATGTAAAATCTTGTTTACTATAATTAATTATACATGTAGTTAATTATTGTGTTTTTTCTGTGGTCATGAACGCATTAAAGTGACAAGATTTATACTTTTAATTGTATTATTAATCAAATTTTAACATAAAAATTAAAGAAGATTTTCTTGGTTTTGTAAATTTATCTTCCAATTTCGTTTTAGTTGAAATTGTCTGAATTTTTTTATCTTACAAAAAATTAGTACATTTATTTGTCTAATAATGTTATTACCTATTGAAAATTCAATATGGTACACACTTCGGACATCTAAAAGATCAACAATCCATGTCATGTTTTCAAAGTTTTCAACAGAAAAACATGAAGATGAATTATATTTGCTGACTCCCATCGAAGATTTGGTTCTATTATAAACGGCTATGGAACGGCCTCGTGATAAGTTATCTACAAAAGGTAAGATCTGTTACACGTATTATCTATAGCTATTCTCCTTTTTTAAAAAGAGGGTTAAGTTCTGAAAACTTTCAAACCAGGTTTTGAGTTATTCATGCTGTTTGCGCTTTATTTATATTTAATCTGTATTGCATTATATATCCATATCCTGCTTATTTTCCTCATTATTTATCTTCAACACAGAACACAAAGAGCACTTCTGTGGTAGAAGGTCTGTATAGTCAAGAAAAAATTGGGAAATAATGCTTAGATTTAAAAAAAATCGTAAATAATCTAAATGAGAATTGAAGGCAACGACAAGAGGCTTCTTCTTTTAATAAAGAATTTTTAAAAACTAAATTCATTAGAATACAAAAATATAACAGCTAGTAACGAGACCATAAGTGCCATTTGATTTCCAATTGATTGTTGGAGGGCCTGGTTTCCCGATAAAAAAAATACCAGATATCGACAATGAGAAACATAGGCAACTATTTATTAATAAATACACTGTAATAACCACAGAGTACTTGTGTATAGAATTAAAATGGGATTTAACAAAATTAATCTGCCTATAACCAATGGTAAGGTATACAAATTTACGAGAAGCTTGGCTTTTAATTTATCAAACCTGGTTGCATAAAGTGTTGAAAAGTTGTTTGTTTTATTACAAAGGAAGTTAGGTTCCGCTGGGCTGTTCACTTATCTGTTAAAACGGAAGATTGTCATTATTAGCTATAGAATCGAGTGTTGTCGTTATTATTGTCATCCTTAGAATGTTTTCCGCTAATAATGCTTTGTTCATCTATTAAAGAAATATTCAATTATATACTGAATCGTGATAAGAACATAATTTGTTAAGACCTTATAAGCTTTCGTAAAATTGATAACATCATATAGATTTACTACTGTACTTCCTTTTCTAGATTTAATCCAATGAGAACAGAGGAAATACAAATTAATTCGTGCATCTAAAGAAAGAAAAAAATAATTTTGTCA